TTACATTTCTTGGTTTTTGCAGGCCCCACTGGCCATGAAAACCCGAGCTCAACCGGTTACATCCTTCGATGCCTCGCGTTGTAAACGTGTTTCTCTCTCTCATGGCCCATTTATCAGTGTCACTTTCATCTAGAGCTCTGTAAACCTCACAAAAATAATACAAGCAATCCTCTTATATATATCACCATTCACTCACCTCATTTCTCACTCAAGCACGCAACGTGAAGCAGAGAAGAAGATAAAAATCGTGTCTTTATCCATCAAGAATTTCCCATTTTTTTCTGATTTTTCTGTAATTTTTCCAATCACCCAGCAGGTACTACATATTTGCTTTGTATTTTCTTGTTCACATGCATTTTGAGTGCGCCCCTTTTGCCCGTTAAATCTCAAGGTTTTATGGAAACCCCTAATTATTACATTGGAATATAGTTTCACATGCATTTTGACTGCGCCCCTTTTGCCCGTTAAATCTCAAGGTTTTATGGAAACCCCTAATTTTTACATTGGAATATAGTTTCACATGATTTTTGAGTGCGCCCCTTTTGCCCCTTAAATCTCAAGGTTTTATGGAAACCCCTAATTTTTACATTGGAATATAGTGTTGGCATTTCATAAATTTTATCGGTTTTTCAAGCTTAAGGGTTATTAATGTGTTATGATCATTCACATTGTATTGATTCGTACAGTAATTATGGGAGGCAAATTCAGATTTACCTTGAACTTGCGATTGTTTTGAACTCTCATGTTCTTCCTTGAATGGTGTGGTGTGAAAATTAGGTGGTCTCACTGACCTTATATTTCTCAATTTCTTGTTTTTTCACCTTACTTTTATCTTTTTTAAAGTAAAGCTTTAATTTTCAGGCTGCGTGAAAAGTAATCTGCTTTGTTGTTGTATGGATTGTCAATTTCTGATTTTATTTTTATTATCCTGTTTGAAGCAAATGTCTAATTTATCATGCTGCGTGATAAGCACTCTGCTTTGTTAGTATGCATTCGTGGAGTTTACTTTGTATTGCGCATTTTATTTTTCTTTGAGAAAGAAAAGGTATAGTTGCAATTTGCATTATTAAATTATAGCGTGAAGAGTATGAGGCTACTTTTTTGTACAATATCTTACTGCCTTTTTTGACTTGTATCATTTTTTATTTTTATTTTTTTCCTTTTTTTGTGTGTGCTCTTTCCTTATATTTCATTAGATCCTTTGAAAAGAGCTTATTTAACTTATATTGTTAGTCCTCTCCCACCTTTTTTTCTTCTTCCGTCCATTTGGATCAACTAATAGGTACTGTCAAAACAAGTGTGTCAACTTCTTTGTTTTTACTTATGTATTCTCTTTATGAATGTATGTTTTGTATATATGTGTCTATTTAGAGTTCTTATATATATGTGGCTATATATCAAGGTTCTTGTTTTCATGTGTCTAACATCCCTCCTTTTTCTGAGTTTGTAATTGGATTTTTATGTGTGTGATGCTTTCACATGCCACGCAAGTATTCCAGTAAACCGTCATAATGTATTGGTTGTTGGAATGCATCTCTACACAATCTTAAATTATTTAAATTTTCTTGAATAATTTCCTTCTTATTGATACATGCATAAAATTTGTTTCTTTTTTATCACATGCTATCCATTGTTTTGCTGGCATTTTGATTTTTTTTTAATAATTGTTTGGCAATTAGAGTCAGGATCCGCAGGAGAAAAAGATTTACCAGAGGATTATGGATGGGGGGGAAAATAGTGCCAATGGTGCCAACAAAGCCACTCATTTTCCCTCTTGTTGCTTGAAAGCTATGGCATCTGATCCTGAGGCTGATGCCACGTGTCATTCCACAGTTGTTTCTGGATGGTTCTCGGAGCTCGAGTCATCTTCCAGTCCAAGTTGTTTTTCTCATTTTCCTTTTTTCTTTTCCATTTTTTTTAATGCATGTGTAGCATACTGTAGTTTTCGTATTCATTTGAATGCTCTGAATAACTCCAGGAATTGTTTGATATTCATTACAGATGAAGCTGGTAAGCTAGTGTATTTCAACAATCCTATGTGGCCAGGTACGGTTTTTCGTTATTCTGATTCCAAGAGTATAAAGTCATATTGATAATGCTGCATGTTTTCTTTTCTGATCGAGCTCGTCTCATTATAGGAGAAGCTCATTCCTTGAAAGTGGAAAAAGTTTTGTTCAAAGAAAAGTCAAAGTATCAGGAGGTTATGGTTTTTCAGGTTTACTATATAATATCTCCTGCCCTCTAAAATTCAAATCTTGTTACCTTATTAACTGCGGTCTTATATGTATTGTTGCCTTTGTTTTTATTTTATTTTCGAATAGTCTACTGCATATGGGAAAGTGCTTGTGCTAGACGGCATTGTTCAGTTGACTGAGAAAGATGAGTGTGCATATCAAGAAATGATAACTCACCTTCCCCTTTGTTCGATCGAGTCCCCACGAAATGTATTACCCTTAAATCTCTTTACTGAGTTTATATTCTTGTTTTTCTTGACTATTTCCATTTCTGTGTAATTATTCTTCCTTTTTTTTTTTT